CTAAAAGATAACTCAAAAAATTTATAAATATTTTGTTTTTCCTATTAATTATTTTTATTATTCAAAATATTATAATTCATTTTAATAATTTTTAATTTAATGTAACTTTAATTTTATTTTATATATAGTATTTTCATTTGGAATGTTGTTTTTTCATTAGAAATTTAATTTAACAATACATAATATAAATTAATAATTTTGTAAGTGCAAATTTTTTAGTTTATAGTAAATTTTAGAATTTGAAGTATATATTAAACTATAGATTATTTTAAACTAATTAATAAAATAATTTAAATATATAAATTTATCTTTTTATCATAAATTTAACTTAACAATATGTAATACAAATTAAAATATAGATTGTATATATAATATTTAATAAAATAATTTAATAATATCACTCAAATTTAAGTATAACTTAAAATAAATATAAAACTTTATATTCAATTAAAATGCAACTCAAGAAATTAATAGATATTTTTTTTACTATTTAATTATTTTTGTTCATTAAATACAATTTTACTTGACAATGAATTTTTCAAAATATTTTACATTTAAAAGTTTAATAATTTTTTTATTAAACGTTATGTCATTCACAACAATATTATTATTGTCATTTTTAACATAATATAATCAATTCTAATAAATTTTTCTAAAATACAATTCATAATAAGTATGAATCAAATATAATTTTAATTCGTAATATATATATATATATATATATATTTAATTAGTTAATAATATATTTTTTATATTTATATTATTAAAATTAAATTCATATTTTCTATTTTGTATCATCTATTCATCACATGAACTAATTAGTATATAATTTTTTTCTAATTAAGTTGTATAAAAAATGTTAGTAATATAATTTTTATTTTTATTTATTTTTTGAAAGTTATCTTGGTTTCCCTTTTTTATTTAATCTTATTAATAATGAAATTAGACTCTAATCCTAAAAAAAATATATCTGGAATACTATTTTAATAATATAATTTTGTAACAAATATTTAAAAGATACTAATTAAAAAATGTTATTATATTTTATAATTATTGAATGTATACTAAAGTGTAGTTATTATTTCTTTTATTTGAATTTTTAAGTTTGTTTTTTCTCTCGTCAATCCCTCACGTAAAATATTTCTTCTCTTTTAATAAAGTCTTATTCAACTTTGTTTTGGTACTCTGATAGTCGTTGATTGTGTTTTAAGATTCTTGGATAATTTGTGGTTACTTTGGATAATTATAGGATTATTTATATGACCAAATTTATGTTATTAATTATCTTTTGATTTTTATTTGAATAGAATTAAATAGGTAGGAAATTGGTTCTTCAATGCATATAGGTAATGAATGTGAACTCTGTGGGTTCGTCCCCTAAGAGAGTTCTAGTTAAAGTGATAAATGATCAATTAGATTTTTATAACATTATTTCTTCTCATTCCTAGCTCATTAATCCTCTCTTGTGCCTAATTGGTCGAATTGGATCATTTTATGATGTTTGAATTTTATTTGGGCTTTATTTAATTTTTTCAGTATTTGGCAAATTCTGATATTGTTTTGGTTTCTGGACCATATCTTGAGTTGTAGAACTCCTTTCATTGTGATTCTTGATTTGTAGGAAAGCTAAGAGAAAGGTGCACAATTCCTATGAGAGGTCAAAAACCAATTCTGATTATAAGAAGCTGAAACTGGGCCTGGAAAAAGTCAGAACGCTGAAATCGTGGATCCTGAGCAAGGTGCAGTATTTGGGCCATATCTCAGTCCACAGACATTCGATTAAGCCCATTCCAGTGGCATTTTGAAGCTGACATCCAAGGCTACAATTTTCCTTCAGGCCACGAATCAAAAAGAGGCCGTTTTCATAGCCGAAAAAATGGAACAAAGTGACGAACAAAATTTTGAATTTTGAATTTAATTTTTGGCTCTTCTCTTCTCTTCTCTTCTCTCTCTCGTTTTTTTTCTTCCGTTTTTACTTTTCGTTTTCCTCCATTAATGGAGGCTTAGACTTTCATCTAGTCCAAGGATTGAAAAAGGATTGAGACACTCTTGAGGATCGGTTTCGCAATTTATTCAACAACAAATTCGGTTTCATCTCTTCCTTCTTTCTCCTTTTGCTAATTATGATTTCGAATTAAAGTTCTTCGTTTGGATTGATAATTGTGCAGTTGTTTGATTATATATTATTCGATTGATGTATATAATTAATTCTTGAAGGAGTGTGAATTAGATTTTCAGGTTTGAGATCTAAGATTAATGGCATTGGTGAATTAAATTAACATAAATCAATTAGGTTCTACAGATTTCTGAACTTTGAAGGAATTGTGTGTTAATCGAATGCATGAGGGTTCTCGTGTGAATGCTTAATTTGAATTGAGGTTTCATTCGAATTTAATGTTAATCACTAATTTGTTGGTTGATACATCTTCTTTGGAATTTGATGATAGAGTGATCGTAGTTCTTCTAAATTCTTGGATTAAAGTTTTAAATTCTTATTAACTTTTTATTCTAATCAGCATTATTCTATAAATCAAACCTCCTCTAATTTTATAATCGTATAACGTTATCATCGTTGGTAGACGACTCAGATTGCACCTCTTACTACATAATTTTTATGCAATTTGGTTTTTATTAATTTGTCCGAGCACGACACTCGCGATCAATAAACTACATGTTGTATCTCATATTATTAGTAATTGGCTCATAGACAAGTAAAAAAAGATTAGAGTCCACTTGTACAGTTATATCAATATATGGTATGACTATATTATTCAAGTGGTACTTACTAATATTATGATTTTCTAAAGGTTTTAACTATGAGTAAATGAAGAAAACAGAATCTCATGAGTAATTAGTAATAAGAGTATAACATGAATCTTTATAAATTGTGCCTATCAGGTGCATGAAGAATCAAAATTCATGTTGTGATCGCGTGTCACTTTAAAATATATTAAAAACAAGTTTCTCAATATTCAAGAATGATAGCGGTATCCATAAATCAGGTTGAATAATCCTGTGCACTCATGTTAATAAAAAAAAAAATCTCATTTGATCCAAGACTCTTAATAGCAATCTATATACATTATACGCCAAGTTATCCAAAAGTATTAGGATTGTCGGGTCTTAGTCCCGTTACCTATTAGTGTCATTGGCTTTTTATTAAGCCTAGTCTAACCTTTTTAAAAAGCCTGATTTGGCCTATTAACCTTTTTAATGGCTTACTTCATATCAAGTCATTCAATAGATCATTAAGTTTTCTTATAAAAAGACTATTAAACCATCTAAATAGGTATATTTTTAAAAAATCATAAAGCTTATATCTAAATAAACTATTAATATAAATAAATGCACAAGATTGTAAGAAGATATGAATAAGACGAGATGAACTAGTGATAGATGTAATTGAGATAACGCAATGTAAATCAGTAAGGATATAAGATATGCAAAAATCTCTAGTAAGCAGAGCTCTCTCTCTCTTAAAGAGTATGTAGTAGACATTCTTCAACTCTAATAAAAAGGATTAGAGTTCTTAATTTAAGATTTTATTATTTTAAAATTTAATTAATTTAATATATTATTATATTATTATTTTTATATAAAATTATTTAATATATTATTATAAATTTTAAATAGGTCATTCTATTATGCCTAATAAGCTTTTTCTTAAGCTCAAGGTTAGCTTATTTAATTAATTAAACTTTTTAAAAAGCTTAAATTAAGCCTATTAATTAAATAGGCTAGGTCAAGTTAAGCTTTAAATAGGATAGGCCGTAGGCCCCTATCAAACGGCCTAACCTATTTCCATCCCTAACTATTAATCATAGAAGGATTTCAACACTATCAAATTTTAAGTTGCTTTGATAAATTTATGGCCCTGCATTGTCAATCCTTTTACATCTTTGTTATGTTCCAATTAGGAGTTGTTTTATCCGTGTACACAAGTAAAAAAATGTACAATGAAAAAAATCACTTTAACTTTTACAAATTCATATTGAAAAGACTTATTTGTGTTATCAATGGATTTGCCACCTTTCATTAAAATGTTAGATGGTAACGACTTTGTCGCCACTGAAGAACGAAGGTGATGATCAACTATGATATTTTTTTTATTAGGAAGAATAGAAAGGATAGGTAGATAGGAGGTTTTAAAAACTAAAGATTTTACTAGATGACAATTTCAAAGACTAAAATGAAATAAAAGAAACATATCATACAATATATAAAGTGGTTTTGATCACAATCAATTATACATATTTATTAATAATATTTAGGTCTAAAGACTAAAATGTTTAACAAAGATAAAATTAAAAAGTAATATGATATTTTTAAATTTTAGAAACTAAAATGTTTAATTAAAAGTTATCATTAATTAATAATAAATATTATCAATTTAGAAAAACTAGGATAGCTTTTCCTTTATCAAGAAAAACTTAGATCCATTTGAAATAGTTGCAAATTGATTAAAATAAAATTGAATTAATTTTTAACTTGATTTTAAAACCAAATTAACTCAATTTTTAAGACAATTTTTTTTTTAATTTTTGTATAAATAATTTATTTAATGTCTTTATCTATCTTAAAAATATATATACTATCCTCATTCTTATTATCATCTCCTTTTATTACTGTTATTATTATTACCACCATCATCACCATTGACACGCCTTATTACCACCATGATTACCGTCTTTCTTTAATTTTTCCTCAGTCACTCCAAAGAAAAAATATATTGATAAATTGAATTAAAGACAACTTTTATCTTTGAATCTAAAAGGTGTATGACTTTCACTTTTCTTTCCAGTTTTTTGCATATTGAGGTGGGATTCATTAAAAGTTTTTCTTCCCTTTGTTTTCATTTGCATATAAAACAATAAAAAACTATTTTTTTTAAACTCTTTTCTTCTGTTTTCTTTCCATCACGACATAAATATAAAACCCACACACACTAGTATTGCTCGAGTTTGTCTCTTCCACAGGATAAACGCCCAAACTCACCCTGCCGCCAAATTTCTCTAAAATAGATTTAGGAATTACTTTGACTTTTTGTATAAACGTTGATACTTCAAAAGTAAATTCTTTCAGCAAGTACCAATCTTGAGGTTTAGCTAAACCAGTGACTGACGTTACATCTTATAGTGAACATGTTTAACACAAAGCTAAACAGATAGGCACCATTGTGTATTTACCTCAGACGTGCAGAACTTCGAGTTACTCTTCTAAAATCAGAAATAGCTGATGAAGATTGAGATGCACCAGATCCTCCTTTATCTGCATCATTTCTACATGCTTTTCCCCTTTTAGGTGCCAATCCATTACTCTGTTGGCTTCCTGTACCTTTGTTCATCTCGTCCTGATTGCTGCATCCAACTTCCTCATCAGCAACTCTGTTAGCACTATGCCTCTTTCGTTGAGAACCAGTAGCTCGTTGGCTTCCTCTATGTTCATTGTCATCTTCAGTCTGAATAGCTTCTACCTTGGGTACTGTATACGGCCACAAAGTGCTGCAACTTGGACAAATTTTGGCAACCTAAACACCAGTTAGTAGTAGTAAGATATACGGAAACTCCACATTCCTGATATTGTAAAAGTGAAATTAAGACTAACTACCTTCCTCTGCGAGAAAAGCTGCTTTAGGCAGTACTGATGAATTCGTACAGTACAATTTTCATTTTGGCATAACTCAGCCTGACAGAAATTGATAAATGAATTATCAGATTCACAGATAGCAGCAATGTCTTGCAAGTATAACCAATACTGTCTGCATATTGGAAAATTTCCATTTTCTAATACAAACAAAAGCGAGTGATTTTTTCATCTTGGGTTCTCAACGCTCAAAAGCCAGACAATTAGAGATAGAAATTATATTACATCCTAAAATTTTGAGAAAATTATATGTATGAAAAAATTCATTTGCATTTAATTATAAAAAATGAACCACACTAATTGATGGTTAACCACTCAATTTTTCATTCTTCAGAATTTTCCTGCAAATTACATTGCATTAACTTATAAATTCCAACAAAAAAGGTATATAGAAAGCTTGATGCATTCAAAATAATCACAACCAATGATGGGAATATTATTAAAAAAATGGGGAGACTGTTACAATGAAGAGGAAAAACCTTGTTAGGACTGGGAATGTGGGCTTAGACTTTGAAAGTAGGGCGAAGATTTGGAGTGTATAAGAGGAGAAACAAGAGTGTGAAGAGGAATGCTGATAGGATACTGAGTAGGGGCAGTAGTATTAAAGAGAGTGATGGGCCTGCAAAAGGAGAATTAGTTAGGCCCAAGGAGGAAGAAGGTAGGCCCTTCAACTAATGATTAGTTAGTTAGAAGGGTATGACATGTTATAGGGGGAGAATATAAGGGGAGAGATTGTATTGGGAGAGGGGAAGGTTGATGGTGAGTTAGTTAGAGGAGAGATATTTTCTAGAGGAGTCACTGACTCTAGAAAAGCTACGAATACATTGCAGAGCATTTCTGCTCATTCATACACATTCAATGGTATACAGTACTGTCGTTTGATCATATTTTTTTGTTATGTCATTTGTTCCTATTATTAGTCCGACCTGTCGGATTCGCGAGGGAGGAGCTAACGGAGTAGTCCATGCCCCCGAAAATGACTGATTGGGTGGAGGCGTTAGAGGAGAGAATAGCAACAACGGAAGTTTCAGTGAGACAATCTCTGGTGGAATTCCGTCAATCTATCTTGGAGGAGTTTTCTAAGCTGCGTTCCAGTTGTGATTCAGCATTCCCCAAGACAGAGTCATTGTTAGAATATCGAATGGCGGCAAAGAAGGTAGAATTACCGGCATTCAATGGTACTGATCCCATCGGTTAGATTACTCGAGCTGAAACATACTTTGAGGTCCAGGGGTCTCATGAGGAAGTGAAGGTTAGATTGGCGAAATTAAGTATGGAGGGGCCAACCATTCATTGGTTCAACCTCCTTCAAGAGTCAGTTCATCAATTAACTTGGACAAAATTAAAACGAGAGATGATTGGACGGTATGGGGGGCAGACGAGTGAAAATCCATTTGAGGAATTGAGGGACCTAACTCAAACGGGAAGTATGGAGGAACACTTAGCAGAGTTTGAATTCATTTCATTGCAGGTACAGAGATTACCCGAGAAACAATACCTAGGGTATTTCATGGGCGGTTTAAAGCCTGATATTCGGAGACGCATTTGCACTTTCAATCCGTTAAATCGTCTTCATGCTATGCGGTTGGCCCGTGATGTTGAAGCAAAGCTGTATGGAGATGCTGTTCAGCGTGGTGGAGCTCCGTGAGGATGGAAGGGAAAAAGGGAATGGATCTCTGATGTTGTGGATAAAGGCAGATCTGGGCCGGGTCAAACTTTTAGTGGGCTTGGCCCCAGTTGAGGTGTGCACAGTAGTGGCCCAAGTTGGCAAGGTTCCTCGGCAGGCAGCGTGACGCAAACGGAGTCTTGTAATTCTGCTCCGCAATGCAGTCGCGCCTCTGGTGACCGATTGTCAACTACAGTAGGGGCATTAAACACCTGCCCTATGCAGAGCTAATGAATCACAAGGCTTAAGGTTTATGCTTTAGGTGTGGAGAAAAATATCACCCCTTACATTAGTGCTCGGAGCACCAGTTGTGGCTGGTGATTTTAGGAGATGACGAAGCAGTTAATGAGGCCGGCGAGGTGATAGCCATTGAAGCTAAAGACGAAGATCGCTAGCCCACTTTAGACTATGGTGCTATGGGGGTGTTTAGGACAGTGGCGATGGAGCAAAGGAAGGGGACTGCTCCTTCTACGTTGTGCCTAAAAGGGAAAATCAACAGTGTTTTGGCAGTGGTGCTTATTGAAAGTGGAGCCAGTCACAATTTCATATTGCCACAGGTGGTAACAGCACTGGCGTTTGAGGTAGAATTGGGAAAATCCATGAGAGTCCGATTAGGGGATGGACATTGAATTTCCACAACTAGTAAATGTAAACCAGTGGAAATTATGTTGGGTTAATTTCCTACTGTAATAGCACCATATATATTGGAGTTGGGCAATTTGGATATGATACTGGGGTCGTTTGGCTGCAGAGGTTTGGGAGAGTTACATTTGACTGGAAACATATGACTCTTAGTTTTTGTTGGAAAGGACAACAGGTGGAATTACAAGGTCAAAAACTGGATTCTAGCAGAAAACATGCAAATGTGGTGGCTCCGTTACAAAGCTTGATAAAGGATGATGTGAAAGAGGGAGAAATAAGGTGTGAATAGGGGCTGTCTTCAGAACAACTGCAGGATATTAAGATAGTTTTATCTATCTTCCCTGCTGTGTTCAAGGAAGCACAAGGGCTGCCTCCCCCTAGAGATGTTTCACATGTTATTGAATTGCACTGTGAGGCTGGGCCAATAAGTGTGCGGCCGTACCATTATCCGTATCACCAGAAAGAGGAAATTGAGAAGCAAGTGGACGAAATGCTTAAGCAAGGAATTATTAGGCGCAGTTTTAGTTCTTTCTCCAGTCCAGTGATTTTGGTAAAGAAGAAAGATGCATCATGGCGCATGTGTGTGGACTACCGGGAGCTAAATAAAGTCGCAGTTCCAGACAAGTATCCCATTCCGGTAGTAGAGGAATTATTAGATAAATTATATGGTGCTACTTACTTCTCTAAATTAGACTTAAAATCGGGGTACCATCAAATACGTATGAGGAAGGAAGATCTCCATAAAACAGCCTTTAAGACGCATGATGAGCACTATGAATATTTGGTTATGCCATTTGTGCTAACCAATGCTCCAACCACTTTTCAATCCACCATGAACCATATTTTTAAACCTTACTTGAGAAAATGTGTTAGTATTTTTTGACAATATCTTGGTGTATAGCAGGGGATGAGTTGAGCATTTGGAACATTTAAAGGCTGTTTTGCAATTGTTGGAAGAACAACACTTGGTGGTCAATCAAAAAAAGTGTGTTTGGAAGTAGGCAAGTGGAGTATCTTGGTCATCTGATTTCGAATCAAAGAATAGCTGTTAATCTTGTGAAAATTCAGTGTGGTAGAGTGGCCAATTTCGCATAATGTTAAAGGCGTAAGGGGGTTCCTCGGCTTGACTAAGTATTATAGAAAATTTATTAAAGGGTTGATCCTGTGAAAATTCAGTGTGGTAGAGTGGCCAATTCTGCGTAATGTTAAAGGCGTAAGGGGGTTCCTCGGCTTGACTGGATATTATAGAAAATTTATTAAAGGGTATGGCAAAATTGCCAAACCATTAACTGAGTTAACGAAAAAGGAGGGTTTCAAATGGAATTCTGCAGCATTAGATGCGTTTAATAAATTGAAAAAGGTGATGACTCAAGCTCCTCTATTTGTCTTACCAAATTTCTCTCAACCTTTTAAGATTGAGTGTGATGCGTCTGGGGCTGGAATAGGAGCTGTGCTGATGCAAAACCGGTAGCCAATTGCTTATTTTAGTAAGGCTTTATCCCCTAATAACTTCAGTAAATCTGCTTATGAGAAGGAATTGATGGCTCTCGTGTTAGCAGTTCGACATTGGAGGCCTTATTTACTAGGCAGGAAGTTCAAGGTGTATTCTGACCAACAAAGTTTGGGGCACTTGCTGCAGCAGCGAATTACTACAGTTGCTCAACAAAATTGGATGGCAAAATTGATGGGATACCAGTTTGAAGTCATATACAAACCGAGACCTCAAAACAAAGCAGCTGATTCACTATCTCGTGTATGTGAAGAAGGGGAATTCCTGGAGATAGCCACAATGCCAATTTGGTTGCAGGGGCAGCAAATACAAGAGGAATGCAATGCTGACCCTTTTCTTCAAAAGGTGGTGAGTGACTTGCAACAAGATGCTGCTTCTCACCATGGATTTAGTTTACAGCAAGGGGTATTGATGCACAAAGGAAGATTGGTTATTTCAGCAAAGTCACCTCTTATTCCTCATGTTTTGGAGGAATTTCATTCATCTCCAGCTGGTGGCCATTCTGGGTTTTTGAGAACCTATAAAAGACTGGCTGGAAATCTATATTGGGTGGGCATGAAGACAAGAGTGGATTTCGTGAAAAATTGTGATATTTGCCAGCGCCATAAGTATGTTGCCACCTCCCCAGCAGGGTTGTTACAGCCCTTGCCAATTCCAGATAAAGTTTGGGAAGTTTTTTCCATGGATTTCATTACCAGGTTGCCTAAATCTAAGGGATTTGAAGTTATATTTGTGGTGGTGGATCAGTTATCTAAGTATGGACATTTCATACTCCTCAAACACCCTTATACGGCAAGAAAAGTAGCTAAAGTGTTTGCTAAAGAAGTGGTTAGGCTTCACGGCATACCCCACTCAATTGTCAGTGACCGAGATCCATTGTTCATGAGTCTATTCTGGCAGGAGCTGTTCCGTTTGCAGGGAACCACGTTGAAGATGAGTTCCGCTTATCATCCGGAGACCGATGGTCAAACAGAAGTGGTGAATAGATGTTTAGAAGCTTATCTCAGATGTTTTGTGTCAGAGCAGCCAAAAATTGGTCATATTGGGTACCATGGGCAGAATTATGGTACAATACCACATTTCATGCATCCACGGGCAAAACTCCTTTTGAAGTAGTTTATGGAAGAACACCTTCTCCATTGGTGTGATTTTCCCAAGGGGAAACAAGGGTAGAAGCGGTGGCAGCTGAATTAGTGGACCAAGATGAGGCCCTCCGACAATTACAATATCATTTATTGCGTGCTCAACAACAAATGAAGAAGTTTGCGGATAAGAAAAGATTCATGGAGTTTGAAGTTGGGGAATGGGTGTTTGTTAAGCTGCGTCCTCATAGGCAGCAAACTATAGCGCAAAGAATTAATCCAAAATTAGCTCCATGATATTATGGGCCTTTCCCGATAGTAGCACGAATTGGTTCTGTTTCCTATAAACTGCAGCTAACAGAGGTGACCTAAGTTCATCCTGTTTTTCATATTTCTCAGTTTAAGAAAGCTGTTGGTGAAATCCTGTTTTTCATATTTCTCAGCTTAAGAAAGTTGTTGGTGACTATACTGCTGAACCTGCATTGCCAGCAGAGTTGGACATTGACCCAGTTGACATGGAAGAACCTGAATCAGTGTTAGCATGCAGGTAATTTCTTCTAGCAGGTCAAGTGATTAAACAGTGGCACGTTAAATGGAAAGGCAGGTCTGTTGATGACACTACTTGGGAGGATGAAATGTTACTCCATGTTCAATTTCCCTTGCTACACCTTAAGGACAAGGCTGGTGTTACAAGATGGGCAATGATAGGATACTGAGTAGGGGCAGTAGTATTAAAGAGAGTGATAGGCCTGCAGAAGGAGAATTAGTGAGGCCCAATGTGTGGCAGGTTTACACTAGGAGGAAGAAGATGGGCCCTTCGACTAATGATTAGTTAGTTAGAAGGGTATGACGTGTTATGGGGGGAGAATATAAGGGGAGAGATTGCATTGGGAGAGGGGAAGGTTGATGGTTAGTTAGTTAGAAGAGAGATATTCTTTGGAGTCACTGACTCTGGAAAAGCTACGAATAAATTGTAGAGCATTTCTGCTCATTCATACACATTCAATAGTATACAATACTGTCGTTTGATCATATTTTTCTGCTCTGTTATTTATTCCTATTAAATGCTGAGGTGGGAAATGCTGTGGTGACAAAGGGTGTAACAAAATTAGCTAATGAATGAGAGTAGGGGAATCCAGGGGAAGGACAATGAGGAGAGAGGGACATATGGATATTTTGAAATTCTGTTATGGCCAAAGGGTGTTAACCTCTAGAGGAGTTTGCTCTGTGACTATCTTTCTATTTTATTTTGTGGAATAATACATATAGTCTCTTATTTTCCCTTTATTCTTCTATATTTTGGGTCTCTAACAAACCTTTATTCCAGCTTCACTGCAAACATGACAGGACGGAACATCGTTATGTCGAAACCAACCACGAAGATCAAGGAATGACTTTGGACCAAGTTTAATAATACCATTTTCTGTCAAATTAAGCCATTGGTCCCTCACTAGTTCATTCAGAGCTTTTTCCTTTTGAGACAAAGTGAAATGCTTCAATGCAGATGGGACATTTGGCTGGCTTCCTTGAGATTGTGGATCAGTCACAATTGTAACCTGAACATAGACCACGAAATTCAAACATTTTAGTCTACATTTAAAATACACTGAAGAATAAAGATATTTTCATTTTGAGATCAGTATCATATATTTTACACCAAATGTCCTAAAACATCTCTCGGTAAAATCTTTCTAACAGCAGATCATATTATTGTGTTCTTTAATGTGTATATGGTTTGGTAGCAGTCAACCTGCAATATGTGTACATCTTGCTCTCCAACTGTGCATTTATATATTGAAACAATTTTTTTTTTGTGCTGATAGTGACTGGGAAGGGGGCACTCACTGCATATCATATAATATACTATGTAAAATACAATTATACAACTATATATAGTGTTTTCAATACCTAGCCAAAAACCTGAAACAACAGCAGACTTAACGAATTTAATCACTAAAAAAGATAACCAACCTTATACATTTAACTGCAAAATTCTAGACTGAGACAATAGAGGCACAAAGATGATGGAAAATGGAGGAGCAGTTGAATCGGATGACATATGTATTGAATTATGAGGTGTTCTAGTAGAAAGTATAACTTAGATTTAGTCATAGTGTCTACTTTGAAACTGCAGTAAAAACTAAATGAATGTATAGTAAGATAAAAGACTTGCATGTCAGGCTTTATGTCATCGAGATTTGAGACTTATATATCTTCTAGTTTGTAGGTTTTGATGATAATTTATAACAATAATAATAACAAATCATAGAAACAGTATATGGTCTTCAATGATTTAAAAAAGGCCTACAACATGGGATCATAAGAAGTTCCATAGTTCTCAATCCTAAATAGCGGCGCATAAGGGATGACCCCCAAAATACTACAGAAGATTAGCGTATTGTGGGATTACAGCTATTTTAACACTTTTATAAGGATATACAATATGTACATATGCAAATAATTACAGGTATAATGCTAAAAGTAAATACTCAAATAAAGCATATAAATAATTATCAACAAAATACACAGGTCTTAAAGCAAAATATACAAATAAATAAATTAGATGATGCCATTGCTAGATGTCCACTGTTGCTTAGAAGCCATAGCTGAGAGCATAACAGAGGCAGCATTGCAGAATCAAAGAATAGGTGAGAAGTCTCTTTTACCCTTAAAAAAGACAAAAAATTGTTTTATTGAGGGTAAAAAGGAAAAGTTGGGATTTTTCACTGTATGAGTGCAATAGCACCACAAAAGGCTGCGTCTTAAAAATACTCTGCTATGCCACATCTGTGGTAGCTGAAGGCCGCTCTGCCTCCAACCACTGCTATCTCACGCTATTGACAACTATGAGAAGTCATAAGGAAGGCTTGCAGAATAATGGAATTTGAATTCCACGTATTTGACCTATAAAGGATATCTACTCAAATTTATGGAGTAAAGCAGAAGATTTTCTTATAACAATAGGATCAATTTTGAGTCTACACCTGTTTACTGTTTTATTTATTGGACTTTAAGAACAAGGCAAAAGAATGAGATAGTGCCTCAATGCATGCATTTTCCAAATGATGTAGTCCTTATTGATATGAGAATGCATAAAATCTAAACTTAAGCACTGAAGAGAGGCTTTATAATCAAAATGCCTTTAATTAAGGCTCAATTTGGATAAACTTCTCAATAAGTACTTATAAAAGCTAAAATCAAATTCCACCTATAAGTTAAATCAATTTATGTTTCTCTATTTTTTTAGAAGTTGTTTCGTTTAACTTCTCTAAAACTTCAAGAGTATAAGCTGGTTTTAACTTATGAGATAAGCTTTATAAATTTTTTATATTAATAAGTAAGAGCCAGGTGGAGTATATGGAATTCAAGTATAGCAAATGAAAATCAACAATTTTAATAGAAAAAAAGTGGGGATAATATCATAACACAAGTTGCAATATATAACTAATTCATTGAATCTATAAACAATTATATTCTTACTAGTTACGGCTATTTAGACCTTACCATATACCACAAAATAAAATATTCTCTCCAATATAATTTATTGATAAATAACAAATATGTTTGATTATACTTCACAGCATTGGATACCAGTATATATGAAAAAAAAATATTCAATTGTTAATGAGCACAAAAATGCAGGTAGGTGAAAATTTATAACCTGACTATCCAAATTTAGATTGAGAGCATCAATGCTGGAGATAAAACCATTTGCATTGGCATTCTGTACTATTGCTTCAATCTGTTGTTTGCCATTGAAAGAACATAAGATTATGTCATAATACTAGGCATCCAAAGAAATATTTCTCTCATTTCAAAGAAATCACAGTACATGTCCAATGATACATTTATACACACACACACACACACACACAAGCAGAAGACACACTGCGAACTGCAAGTCTGCAAATACTAAATGAATTATACAAAGCAATTTGTAGAACCTAGTACATCTTCCACAATGTACACAGACAAACAGAAAAACACATTCAAATTCAACCAAACTTACAATGGCCTTATAAAAGGCAATTTGCGGAACAGTATACTTTGTCCCTAGCTTGGAATGTTCATCTGCAACAGTATTCACCACTCCATAATAAACTTGGCCATCATATTGATCTATGCAGCCACGCAACTCAAAATTAGCACAAGCAAGTGCCTTGTTTATTTTCAGAATAAAGCCATTGAATAGCTGACGATCAGTGCCTAAGACAAACAAGTGCGGTCAATGTCATGATAAAAAGTTATCCAGGACACACCACAAATTCCAAAATTAGAAAATGAAATATTTGTTTGCTACCAATATTCAAATCAGATCACATTTCACCCTCAATGCTCATCATGCTACAATGTTGACTGAATGATCAATCAGAATTTAACTTCATATATGTTCGTGCAAAAATATTAATCATGGAAAAAATGTTTATACTTTAGATGTTATACCTACAAACTTCACAGTAAATTAAAATTAAAGAAAAGCCAATATAGCTGTTCAACAAGAAAATGAAAAACTGAAAAACGTTTTCAGGGGAAAGAAAAACCTGGGTTTTTCTTGGTGAGGTCCTCAAAAATGGAATGTAAGTCCTTCTCCTTGAGTGGGCCACGTGACAACAGAGCTTGAATTACGACATGGTGCCTCCAGCTTAAACCACCCGACATGTTTCTTTCACAAACCCTAATGCTGAATCTGATTCTGGGAAATATAGGGTTTGGAAATGTGTCAAAATCTCCGCAGATTTCGTAATACATAGAAAAAAGTAATTATTATAAATAAAAGAAACAAAAATTTAAATAGTCACTCGAAGTTCTAAGCTTTTAAATGCTGAAAAATATAAGGTTTCAAGGATCAACCAATCATGTAGAGGCATGAATTCCTTTTTTCCTTTCTTTTTCTTAATATTTCCCTATAAGCCTAGCCTGGTCTGAATCTGAAAGCCTATTCAAAGGCCTGTTTTGTAATAAGGCCTAAAATCAGGTCAGTAGGCCTATTATAGTCTTATCTAAGCACGCCTGTTTACCTTATAAAAATACAAGAAGATAAATTTAAACAAAATCAGTCAAGATGAAAAAAGAACAAAAATTTAAACACTTCATTCATCTGGGTGTTCGAAATTACTGCATGCAAGCAGAACAAAAAATATTTAGGAACACAACTGAGCAAAACACTAACTTCTATAGCAGAATTCACATCGAAGAGACGGATTAAACAGTTAAAAAAAATGCATGGAAATAAAATTGTGAAGGAAAGATTAGCAGTCATTTAGAAAATCACCTTGCATATAACACACAAACCATAACCAAAAAAAAAAAAAAAAACAATTTTACACTATCGCATTAGTTTAGGCATTTTATCAAATAGGTAGTAAGCAACATTCATAAAAACTATAACACAATACAAATTGAAACCACTAAAGAGAACAACTCAAACAACTAACTAAACATCAATAGCTTCAAAAGTTTATTAATCACAGCCATAAAATACGTGAACGAATAGGGTACGTAACTAGAATACTTAGGATGAAATTGAAAACCCCCTAAGATGGTGAGGGCCAAGAATGAAATCTCGACGACGTGTGTGTCAGAACAGCTAGGGTTTCTAAATTCTGAAGAATAAAAATTCGTTTTAAATTAGGGGTTGACTTACCTCAGTAAGATAGAAAAAGTGGAAAAAGAAAATGTCGTGTGTAGATTGTGCAGATCAGGGAAAAACTTGGGAGGCATAAGGGAAGTTCAAATTTTTGGTTGCTCAGAATCAGAAGAAAAGAGAGAGGTCTCTAAGGCGGGAAAAGAAATTATGTGTATAATAATAGTAATAATAATTCAAGGAAAAAATTGTTAAAGTGACAAAGATGATCTTTTTAAAAAGTAAATAATTTTTTTAAAATTATTTTATTGGTAATGAAAATATAGGATAAAAATAAAAATGTAGGCATTTAGAATTTTTTTTTTTAAAACAAGATAATCTAATCAATAAAATATTGTTTTAATAATAAAATAATAATATTTTAGTATATTAACAATTGATTAATGAAATTTTAATATTAATTAAGATGATTAAGGAAATTAAAATTTTCTCAAAATGAATAAATAATTAAAAAAATTATTTACAGTTTAATTTAATATAAAAACTTATAAAATATGTATCATAAAATAACGAAGATATGAATACACAAATAACAACTAACCCACCAATTTTTAATTATTAGAGTACATATTTGAATTGAACCCATCAACTTGCAAGACATGTCAGGTTTTCATCAATAATATTTGATTATATTTATAAATTTTATAATTTACAGAAAAATAAATACATAAAATAATGTAAGTGATTGAAATTACATAATTCAAACTAATTAAAAATTACTTAAGTTTGACATAACATATTAGATTATAATTTTTTTTTTTAATTTATCTCATATTTATTTCCTATTTTCAAGCTTTACATACTCTAAAGTCTAACTTAAATTTTTTTTTAATTGAATTTTAATTCTGATTCTTTTTTTAATTTATTATAAAATTATATTTTTATTATTTTTATTTTCTATGAATTTTTATTTTCATTATTTAAGCAGATCACCTATCAACCTATCACAAAATAAAGCAACTTAACATTCTTAATTCCAATCAATTAGTTAAAGAAATACTTAATTATACTTTTAGTTTCTATATAAATAAGTAAAAAGAATGTATAAAATGTTTAAATAAAATATAAAAAATATTTGTATTCATATATTTCTTTGAAAATTTGTATAAATCAATTATATAGTCGTTGTTAGATTTTCTTTAATTATTAGATAAAATTTTAGATTAAAAAATTAATTTGAACAAATAAATATTAGAGAGATTAAACGCAAACAATTTAAATCAAAGGGAATAAATCACACATAAACTAAAATATAGAAACTAAAAGCATAATTAAACCTTAAAATTTAGTCAAATTTATACAACATTAAAAATACTTTTTGTTGAACTATTTAATTATTATTTTTTATTATTTTATTAAGTTTTTAAATAATATTTTAAAATTATATTTATTGGTATATTTAAATGTATGGATTTGGTTCTTCCAACTAAAGAGTTGTAAGAAAAATTAAAAATTAAATTTATGATTAAATATATGTACATATATAATTAATTATTTAATTTTTAAAATTTTAATAATTGATATTTTAATCATAACTCTAACTCATCACTTTATCTTCTACAGTGAATTCTCACTTTGTTTTTTTCTTTTTATTTATACCTAATATAATTTACCTCAATTAAGAAACTAACTTGTAAAGTAAATGAATCATTTTAGAAAATAAAGTAAGTAATTATAGTCATTGATTAAAAAATTATTAAAAGTAATCAATTTATGGAATAATTATTTTGTAAAATTATCCCATCCACCTATATGAGTAACAACTTGAGTGTTTTTATTTATGCACATAATTATTTTAAAAATTTAAATTGATTTATGAAAATTAGATTTTTTTAATTTAATTTTTTTTAAAAATGTTAAAATTAGTCTTTGAATGTGTTTTATATTAGTTTATGTTAAAAAAATTTAATTAACTCTTGAAAGATGATGATGGAACATGATAAATATGATGTGACACTCTAAACTTTAATGTATCTTTAATTATATCAATTAATATTATAACATAAAATGACTAAAACACTTCATTATTTTTCTTTTTATATACAACACTTTTAAAAAGTAAAGACTTACTTAGTAACATTAGTAATTAGAAATAAAATAACATGGCAATTACACTTAATATAGCACGTTATTTATAACAATCTTTTATTAATGATATAAATGTGTAAATTTTTATTTTTTTGCAACACAAAATTTAAGGTAATTCTTATTTTTATCTTGGTGAATTATATTTCCAAAATCTATTACTCAGGTGAATACACTTTCAAGTTATAAGCAATTTGACAGACTTTTATTCTTTGGTAGCTTTATAAACTGACTTAACATTTAGATAAATTATAAGATGTCTCATAACACTTTATATCTTATACTCTAAGGATCTAATGTGTCTTATATCACATTAGTAAATATTAAATCCTTAACTAGTATCATACTAATTTAATAAAATCTAATATCAAAGAATTACTCATCCAATGACTCTCATTACCTTATATAACTTGTGAAATTCTATGTTTACGTAAGAACCCGTTGTGTAAACATAATTAATTCATGCTACTATGTTTCTAAGCATAACAATCCTACTAACAGAATCTTGCTATAATTTATGTCCTTGAACACAACACCAAAGATTTACAAAACAAAAATAAAAGAGAGGGTGAGATTTTTCAAATGCTTATAAAAACAGTTAAGATTTGAAAGAAAGGAAACAAATAAATAGAAAAAAAATACAAGTTGGCTAATATTATATAATAAATTCCATTCACCCATTTATAAGTACAAACATCATACATCTCTAATTCAATGTAAGACCATAATTGTCACGACCCCTTTTTATAAGGAACCGAGAACATTATTTCTTCACCACTTACTTATTTGAGATAAATAAACAATAGAGAATATAAGTATAAAATTCACTTTTCATTCAAAATAAACAAAGTTTCTTATAGCAAATATCTAACAAAATAACATAATATTACATTTAATTCATAATACTCAAAATATACAAAATTATACTACATAACTCCCTCTATATGAGGTCTCAAAATATAAAGGAAAGGACTTTAATGCAAAATTACTCGACTCCAGTCTTCTAACACTTCTCCACTGGCCCCTCAACCTGTGAAGTAGATACAACACCTGCTACATCTGCTCACGTACCACCGTACGATAATTGCAATACACACACAACAACAAAGATAGAAATGCAAGGGTGAGATTACAAAAGACAAATCATATATATAGAGCAAAATATTACTCACAGCAACAACCCCATGCATTCCCAGCCCATCTAATGCATAGCATGAAAACGATTACAACTGATTTCACAGCCTAAATAATCCAGAAGGAACCGAATCAGTCCAAGAGCGACCCATTCCAGTATTTGGATCCAACAGCACAGGACAACTTAGCATACTCTATCGTTACACGTCTACCTACCTAAACGTGTAACTCGGCTCTATAATGATGCAAGACATATATCTCAGCATAATGCAGCATAGACAAAATCATATTCTTAACAGCTCAGCTAAAACAATTCATAATATTTCAGCTAAATCTCAATTTTTAAATCAATTAACAGTAGTTACAACATAAAAAATAGCTTTTATCCAAGAGATCTGACAAAATCATCTCAAAACTTCTTGTAATAACATACCAAATCGTTTCAAACATCGTTTAATAGTTAAAGTAAGCTCCTCATACCTTAGAATAACAATTCACACCAAATTTACTAAATATTACTTGTTTTAAGGCAAGATCCACAAAAAATTTAGCTCTACAACGAAGTTTCTCCTCAAATATCATCAACTATCTATAAGAAAGAGAAGAAGAGAAAGGAACAGTAAATCTAACTTCAAACTTATAGAAACTTACTTCAAATCCTTCAGAACAGACGTAGAATCTCATATCTGGTGAGAAATCTAAGTTTAAGAGGGTTTAATATAAGAGAAAATAGTGATATATGGCTTTGAGTCTCTCTAGAACCTTTGGGAAGGGTAAAGAAATGAAAATTTTGTGCATGGCCTCCCTATTTATAGGCAAAATTTTGAAAAAAAACTTTGGTACTGTTCATGCCAGATTTACCTGAAATTACTATTCACACTGTTTTATTGTTCACTTTGTTTTTTTAAATAAGTTCAAACTCCATCTAAACCTATTTCAATATCAAATAATCCTTCAAATAATATTTAACAAGTACAAAACATTACAGGTTACTCAATAATAAATTTACAGGCCTAACAACTCCCCTAAAAATAAATTTTCGTCCTCGAAAATTTCATCCCTCAGAGAAAAGATGAGGATACAACTCTCTCATTTTCTCCTCTAATTCTCAAGTAGCATCTCTAGTAACTTGGTCCCAAACAACCTTCACAAGTCGAATAGACTTGCCTCTAAGCTCCTTAACCCTAGTGTCCTCAATACGAGCAACTGGAATTTCAATAGATAAATCATCTCGTATCTCCACAACATCTAACTCGATTACATGAGACGGATCAAGAATATACTTCCTCAGAAAACATTATGTAACCTTGCCAACTGAGGTGGTAAATGTAACATCCTGTGCTTTGTGTCATGCCTGTAGTATATCATTGAGAAAAATCTGTAGTACTTTGTGAGCAGAAAGAAACCGTGTATGTATAGTAGCCCCTGATGTCAACAGTGACATCACGCTGATGTAATCGGTGACATCATGTTGACATTGTCGCTTGCATCATGATGACATCATCGCTTACATCACGTTGACGTTGACATCATCACTTGCATCATGCTGACATCATCGCTTACATCACATTGACGCTGACATCTTCAAAAATTTTCTATAAATAGGGGGTTTCACATGAAATTTTCATTTCTTCACTCTAATCCAAGGTTCTCAAAGGTTCCAAGGCTATATCTCGCCATTTTCTCTCATACTAAATCTTCTAAACTTAGATTTCTCTTCAGATCTGTGATTCTACGTCCGTTCTAAAGGATTTCAAGTAAGTTTCTTTAAGTTTCAAGTTAGATTTACTATTTGTTTCTCTTCTTCTTCTTTTTCTTATAGATGTTAATGATGTTTTTAGGAAAACCTCTGTTCTAGAGTTAAATCTTCGGTTAAATCTTTGTAAAAGCTCTATTTTGAGGTAAGGGAGCTCTACTTTAT